TTTTTTTTGAATTAGTTTTATTTTTCACTGAATTTAGCACTAATTCGTACCTGAACTTTCTGCAGTTTCTTGCAACTGCATGCCATTTTTATTATTAAATTGCTGTTGTTTGATGACAAGACCAATAATTTTGTAATGGCTTTGTGAATTAATATGAGTACATAATTTATTGAATTAAATGCGAGTTTAACTTTAGCAGGAATTGAAGTCTAGGTTTGATACAATTTTGATTTGAGATGACAGAGCGTTTACTAATTAATGATAACTTTGCCCTTAGTTATAACAGCTATGCTATATTACTACTAGATGGTAGAATATATTTTAGCAAGTATCAACAACATTCGTAGGTGCGTGGGTGATACCATCTAATTACTAACGTGCAACAAAATATTGACCCATCAAACAATCAATCCCACCAACGTACGTCGACCTGACAATTAGCAATGTAGTAGTAAGTTACCGAAAGAAAAATCACCAATGTGATGTGTATTGCTATATATATTTTTTCAGCAAGTCAAATAATTTATCAAGGCTATCCACGTGGGGCGAACTCAATGTCACTAATGTAACAAGCAATGCTAAATAGGTCAAGCAACTAATAATATCCTTTATTATACCACGTTAATAGATTAAACCACATCAACATGGTTCAAAATGCTACTTTAATATTGTTTTAATAATTTCAGGTACGTATACATTAAAACAAAAATCCATTTAGTATTGTTTAATATACTTATTTTTATTAATATAAAATGAGTTTATCGACAGACCTTGCCATGCTGGTTTTTAGAGTCTCAATATTAGCCTAGACTCAACTATTTTAAATCATTAGGGATTTGAGCATTGCAAGACAGGTCGGTAAATTCAATGTTTTTTCAATTTATTTGAGCATTGCGTGATACATCGATGAAGTTCCTTAAAATTTGAAAAGGATAACACTGCCATTGTTGGACTGCGTTTGAAGCCATGTGTAGCATTGCATAACATGTCGCTGAAAACCCTTGAAAATTGAAAAACTTTAAATGGTTTTTAATGCTGAGAGTAATAAAAAAGATTTTTAAATGGTTTTCTTTTGACAGGGTTTTTTTTAAAGAATCATAATTGGTGCACATCCGAATCTAA